AAGAAAATTGTGAACCTGAAAGCACACGTCTTGTCCAATAGCCTCTTCAATTTCTTTCTCGCCATCTTAAAGTGTGGATATTTTGTTGTTTGTGCTCATTACAGTCTGAAGGTCTGTTATTGAATGCAGCACTTAAAAGAGAACGGTTTATTTCTTTCTTCTGTCTTCCTCTCCTCTCTAATGTGCTCACTCTTGCTTGCTCTCTTCCCCCTTTACAAGGTGACAACTAGTTCATGCAAACAAAATGAATTGCCACTTAGTTTGATGCTTGTGCTCACATTTGGAAGATAAAGAGAGTAAACATGGAACCCAGAGATGAGAATGGGAAGGGAGTGAGGAGGAGCGAGATGGAGGAGCGCCCAGATTACAATCTGTTTCATGTAGCCTTTGTTTTTGTTCAAGCTGAATTGGTTCAAGGGTTGGAAGACAATTACTTCGGCAGCATTGTCATTTTCACAGTCATGCACACAGTGGTGTCGAAAAAACGCTTTGTGTAACTACAGCGTGTTGTTTTGCGTATCTCTGAGGAGCAAACCTTAATTATGTTTCCCTGTTGTTCTTTTCCCTCTTTGTCTTTCATTTCTATCCCTTTAACCTTCACACTCATCATTATATTCCACTCGTCCTTCTGCTGAATTCTCATCTGCAATTGTCTGCCTTTACTCTCCTCCTCACTCCCTTTTCTGTCTCCCTTGCCTCCGTCTGTCTTCTCTGCAGGTCTCTGTCTGGACGTATTGTCGGAGGTGTGTGGTGGTTCTTCACGCTCATCATCATCTCCTCCTACACAGCCAACCTGGCTGCTTTCCTCACGGTGGAGAGGATGGTGTCCCCCATAGAGAGTGCAGAGGACTTGGCCAAACAGACAGAGATAGCCTACGGAACGCTGGACGCAGGCTCTACCAAGGAGTTCTTCAGGGTATGGACTCGACACACTCTGTTCTTAGTTCTTTCAGTGTTTTCAGGCTTTTATTTTGTTATAGTGCTGAGAAGGAGAGAAAATGTTGACGCTTCAGAGAACCAGCAAGAGGACTTTTTCCAACCTATTTGTATCGCTGTTGATATTTTTACATAATAACCCATTACTGCTCAACTAGCTGTGTATGTACTGTACGTTTATCAGAGTTTTAGGATACCTTAAAAGCTGTGTCAATGAAAAAGATTGACATAAAATGATGTAGATTTTTTAACAGACATGCTAAGAGAGTTTCTGACCACCTGCAGTGCAGTGAGTTGCTTACCACTTGTTTTCAGTTTCATACCAGTTGCAAACTATATCAGTTTTTTTTGCCGATTTCCATCAAGATATCTGCAAAGAAATTCAAAATAGGACAGACATGTCGATGATTTTACAAGGGTTGTTGTTTCTGTATGATGTCCAAGTTGCATGTCCCAAACAAGCAACTTGTGGGCTTTGGCTGCGTTTGCTTCCACGTGGTCCATGTGGAATCAAACATTCCAGACTGCTTTTGTCTGACTAATGCTTCACCGCAATTAATAATTCACTACAAGCAGACAGTTATACCTGTACAACGCAATCCAGTCACCTCTTTCCATTCCGTTTTTATTTCTGAAGTTGCTGGTCAGACTGAAGACAATGACCAGCGTTGTGCTTAACTGCTTTATATGTTGATGGCTTCAACAACACCCCACCCCACCCCCGATAATAAAAGAATATATATAATGTAATTTCCTCCCAGAGGCTTTATCATACATGCAGTAGCAGAAGTCAAAATTGCATATTCACAGTTTTCAGGTTATGTGTTGAAAATGTAGTTATGCACTTGCAAAAGGTTTGAAACAAGAAGAACATTTCACTCCAGCAGATGTTGACGTAAATAAACTTGGTGACTTAGTAAACTGAGGTACAATGTGCTTTCAGAACTGTCATATGTCCTGTGCACGTTATTTCTTGTTTGAACGGCTATTAAATGAAGTGATGGTCTAACCCATGTGTGTCTTGTGGTTGAAAGACGCCTTTCTGCTATACTTTGCTTTTAGAATCACCACTCTCCCTTTCATCCATTATTGCATTCTTGCTCTTTTGTGGGGCTTCATTGAAAAGGGACAAACTTTCTTGTGAAGTGAAATGGAAGCACTTGAGGAAAAAATGATAGTGGCGGTGTCTCGTTTATCAAAGTCAGACAAAAGTAGAGCAGCATAAATCGGCTCTGACTGTAGGTGGGGTGAGATAGATAGATAGATAGATAGATAGATAGATGTTTTATTGATCCTGAGGGAAATTCAAAGCTTTCATAGTAGATTCATAGTGAAAAACAATTAACTACAGCCCAGATGGTAGGAGAGGAGGGAGTGGATGACTTTCTACTGATCTTCTGTTAAGAGAGGCTTTAATCTGGCGAGTGATGCTAAACTGATATGTCTGGCTTTGACTTTTTCTGGAAAATTTGTGGATCAAAGTTAGTGTCTTGTTCAAAGTTAACACCAAGGTTTCAGAGGCCAACACTGATTACTTGAAGCGAAAGCACCTGGGTAATTTATTTTTGTTTACCTTTTGATTAAAGTACAATCATTGCCACAGTGGATTTCTTGCACTTTAATCACACTCATACCTTGTCAAATAAAGCTATAATTTTACTAATAATTGACTAAATAAATGGTTATGGGGACGCAGTGTTTGAACGGAATATACAACAGGGAGCTGTATCTGAAAATAGAAAGCAAAAAAAAACAATGACAGAGGAGTGGCCCTATAGTGGCTTCATCCATTGACCCCTTCACCTAACTGGATTGCAATTACATAAGCACACATAAACACATACAAGCAGTGACACATGCAAACAATGCTGATGAAGACAGAACATTTCTGCAGACTGGTACAAAAACACCAGTTTCCTCGCATGCACAGAAACAAACCCGCTCTGTCAGGTAATCAAGCTCTGTCGGAAAATATTCAGAACTGTTTGTTTGCCCATGCATTGTGTGTGTATCTAAGCATACAAACTCACAGTAATGCTTTGCAAAGATGTATGCACTAGTGTGTGTGTGTGTGTGTGTGTGTGTGTGTGTGTGTGTGTGTGTGTGTGTGTGTGTGTGTGTGTGTGTGTGTGTGTGTGTGTGTGTGTGTGTGTGTGTGTGTGTGTGTGTGTGTGTGTGTGTGTGTGTGTGTGTGTGTGTGTGTTTGGGGAAGTGGAGGAGGGGAAGGTGGAGCTTGTAGCAGACAGTTTGTGCTTCTGTGAGCGGCTCTGGCATCATCAACATAACGAGCGACTGAAATCTGTGGAGGGTGAAAAAGCAATTTACTCTCCCACAGCTGAGGGGGATTCGCCACCACCATTAATTATCTGTGCGTGTATGTGTGTTTCTATGGTGTGTAGGCATGCACCAATGCATATATTCAGCCCCATATGTAAGCATGTGCATGTAAGTGTGTGCGTCAGAGCAGATTTGTTTGTCAAGTGTGTTCTGCATATAGTGTGTTATGCCTGAAGGTGACTTGCATCATTCATTTCCCCCTTTGAAGCCTCTTTTATTGTTTAAGAATCTGGAAAGAGTAACACTGCTCTGTCACGCATCCCTCAAAAGCTGGACGCAGACTCACTCTCATACACACACACACACACACACACATTCAGGCAGATCTAAATGCATACACACAGAAAGTAATGAATCTAAAAGTGCAAATAAATTAGCGGTTAAAGGCGTTTTAGTGTCAAATAATGATTGACTTCGGTAGAGATGGAGGATTGAGAGTAAGAGAGGGTGGACTGCAAAGAAAGGTATCCTTCTGGTCCTCTTGGATGTAAGTGACATTATTATGGGATAGGTGTCCGTCATGCACTAGTAACACACTCGCTTGCACATGCACATCGTCCCCCCCCCCCACCCTGACACTAGTTTCACTTGCTGAGGCAAAGGCTAAGGCTAGTGGCTTGCAGAGCGACTGAATAACACTTTATCACCGGGAGAGGAATAGACGAAGGGAGCAGGATGCTTGTGGAGGATGACAGTTTGACTCCTCTGCTTGTTATTTTCACTCTTGAGTACACACAATCCACACACACACACACACACACACACACACACACACACACACACACACATTTGAAAACACATTAACTCTCACTTTTTATACATAAACTGGTGCACAAAGCTGCTTGTATACACACAAATGCATGGCATATACTGAATATAATACAATCCAGTGCTTCATGGCAGATAGATGTCCTCTAAAAAAAGCTCTTGTGTCACAACAGTTGACCAAATTCATAATGGCACAACCAGATCACTGTGCCACTATTCCGGTCATAAAGTCAGTTAAAGTAAGATTTATGGAGGACTTGTCAAGGGAGGCGTAGAGTTACATTTTAAATGTGGTTATAAATGTCATTTTGTGCCAGAGGAGCAAAATGGAAGATGGAAGAGGCTTCACTCCATCAGCAGCGTAATTGTATTCAGGAACCATAGGAAGCCACAGGAACCAGTGCAATCAGTCTGCTATACAATCTATTAAAAAAAAAATAGATGAGGGGCTCCGGTGGACTAGTGGTTGTTGTGTGCGCTCCATGTGCAGAGGCCGTGATGCTTTGGCAGGGCAGCCCGGGTTCGAGACCAACCTGCGGTTCCTTTCAGGCATGTCATTCCCCACTGTCTCTCTTTCCCCGATTTCTGACTCTGTCTCTAAGATAAAAAAAAAATAAAGCCAAAAACATAAAACCTGGTTATGAGGAAAAATTAAAAAATTGAAATAAATGCAATTTTTCAAAAACAGAAAAGCATCACAGAACACTTCTTATATTTTAACTAATTGAATATTTTAAGCCTGAATGCTAACATGTTTTTTCCTTTGGAGGAGCAAAGAAGAAACGTTCATGCTTAATCAATAACCAGCACTGAGTGTCACTGTGTCAACATCATGAATAGCGCTCTTTGTTTTCACCTCCTCAGCTCTCAGTTTTACATCTCAGATCAACCAATTTGTCTCATTAAGCATGGCATGTTGTTTCTAATCCGTAGCTCTGATTGCCTCACACCTAGCTGATGAGCATATAACTATCCCCCTTCATTTTTAATTTGAATAATAAAATCAGTCAGGTGACAATGGCAAACTAATAAACACAAAGTATGGACGTGTTATCATGACAGAAAAGGTGAGTGTTAAATCTGCTTAAAAGCCAACCATGCATAGCTTCTTTTCATACATTACATTTCCCAATCCTGTTTTGCACCCTTTTTTTGGGGGGGGGGGGGGATTATTTTTTGGGCTTGTCATGCCTTTGTTGAGAGACAGTGGATAGAGTCTGAAATCAGGAAAAGAAAGAGTGGAATGACATGTGGCAAAGGAGCCTGAGGTCGGATTCAAATCCCGGCTGCCCGCTGTGAGGACTGTAGGCTCTGTACACAGGGCACACTAACTAACCACTAGGTCACCTGCACCCCCAGCACCTTTTTAATTTTGTGCAAACCTTCATTGAAACAGTGGGGATTTTGTGGCAAACTCATTGGGCCATTGCTATAAGAAGCTGTATGGTATCTGTACTTTTATGTTATGTGAGTATTTTTCAACTCAGCAGGGAAACTGAAAGGTACAATTGGGTTTCATCAACATGATGATGAAACTCAAATTCAGGCTTTCTGATAAGGACCTTAAGGTTAGTTGGTTAGTTATTCATCTTGGACAAGTACTTAAATATAAATATATACTTCAATCACAGAAAGGGCAAAAGGATGAAATACCTTTAGTGAGCAACTTGCATTGAAATGTTACTCCGTGTTCTCCACCTGTGAGACCTTACCCATCCAGAATGTTCTTTTTTATCTACATGCATCACAGATCCAGGCAATTTAGGATTGAATTGCCTGTCTTTCTCTCAATCTGTCATCTCTTTTCCTCAAGCGAAAGCATTTGTATGCAGCCTGGCCCACATGATCTCCCTTCCCTTGGCAGTCTTTCTCTCTCTGCTCTATGAAAACTGTCATCTGTGGGAAAATCTGGCTCTGTATGTTCGCAAATTGATGCCAGTTCAATTCTAATTAACCTCTGCTCTCTCCCTTATCTCCCCCATCCCAGAGGTCCAAAATAGCCGTATACGAGAAGATGTGGTCATATATGAAGTCTGCTGAACCGACTGTCTTCACCAAAACCACAGGCGAAGGTGTGGCGAGGGTGCGCAAGTCCAAGGGGAAGTACGCCTTCCTCCTGGAGTCCACCATGAACGAGTACACAGAGCAGCGCAAGCCCTGTGACACCATGAAAGTCGGGGGAAACCTGGACTCCAAAGGATATGGGATTGCTACACCGAAAGGCTCACAGTTAAGGTGGGTGGAATAGTGTAACAATAGGAGACAGTAGCAACGCTGATGCTGTACTATTGCTGCGATATTCCACCTACCCTGCTGTGCCTTTTTAAACTCAACATACAGTAGATTAAAGTGTCACTGCTGTCAGGTGAAAATCTGCCATTCACAAGAACTTAAGGTCAAATGGTAACCTTTATTTTCTCAAATTGGCTACAAGTAGCTGTAATCACATGCAAAGAAAAATAAATACAATGAATTCCATCCATTAGGAATTCAGTTGATCATATTTGGATTTTGGTTGTTTCTCATAGCACTATCAGTCTCAATTTGACTGTAAAAATCATGGCCTGAGAAATAAATTTAGTTTTAGCCTATAATCTCTAAATATAAAGAATCAGTTATAGGTTTTCACCCAGCAGCAGTGCTATGTGAAAGTCGATTTAATATGCAGACTTTATGTTTCATCTTACTTTCCCTTCCCTGAGTTTTTTTATTTTCCTCGGTCTGGTCCCCTCCTTACATATCTCTTTTTTTTTTTAGCTACCCTTTCACTCAGTCCATCTCACTGTTAATTTAGGGCTCCATTACTGTGTCCAATGTCCTGTGTCATTGTCATTCGTCGGTCCGTCCCCTTAGTGTCTTACGTTCCGTCCTTTTATCGATCACTCTGTTTCTCCACAGGGCCACCTCACAGGTAACTCTGTCCATTTTTTCCCGTTGTCTCGTCTCTTTGTTCCTTTCATCTTCAGAGATGGTAGTCATGATGGTGATAATGATGATGATGGTGATGATGATGGTTATGATTATTATGGTGGAGATTTTTTATGAACTGAATATGACCGCGAGGAGGGGCTGAACCTCAGACTGCTGCCTCTACATCCTGAGCCACAAGGGGAAATTTATAGATGAACAGGGGACTAAAAGTGAGACGTAGAGGGGCCTGGAAAAATGGGGGACTAGAAATCTAAATCAGATCTGATAACAACAAAACAAAAAAAACACATAAGAGAAGAGAAAAGATCCTCTAATTCTGCTCAAAATACATTTTAAAGTAAATATGAAAGGCAATCGGACGAGCCCGTATTCATCCCAAATCAAGGGGAAATCAGTGGTTAATCATTTTGAATGTACAAACGAATGTTTAAAACTTCATGGAGAGTGTGTTAGCTGGAGCAATTGAATGAGAAAGTGATGTCCTAAAATCCTTTGTTTGGATATTCCCTCAGGAGACACTTGTTTATTAACTTTATAAACTTGACAGTTGTGTGTCTAGGGTGGGGCCTGGTCCCCCTGGAAATGTGACCAGTGCCACCCCATAAGTCCAAAAGGTTATAGACAATGTGTCCAGTCAGAGGAGGGACTTAATGTGCCACTTGCAACAAGTAGTCAGAAGCTCTGCTGTGTTATTTTGTAATTGGAAAAAAAACTATACACCTATTTTGAAGACATCTATATGATACCATGTTTTTTTAGTTGAATAACATTCAGTCAATCAATCTTTATTTATATAGGGCCTATTCATGACAAATGTGATCTGAAGACACTTTACAAAAAAGAAGGTAAAAGACCTTATTCTTTGTTGTATTATTTACAAAGACCCAACATTAATCCATCAGAGAAGACTGCAATGGTAAACTTATGCTATTCCGACATGTGTGTGCACATAGATACATTATAGCACCCCTTTATCAGCGAATGCCCCAGTCAAACCTGTAACTTACAGCTACAGTCGTTATAGCCGTCACTGAGGTATGCGAACAAATGCATTTATTTTCCAGCAGTCTGTGACAGCCGTAAAGACGTTTTGTCTCAACAATCTCTCAAGTGCCTCCCGTGGGAAAATAATTGACTAAAAAAGGCAAAAGCTGGACCACTTCTTTTCTCTTATCTCCCTCCATCACAGTCTCTCAGTCAGTATTTTATTATTGCCTCGTGAAACGCAAAACACAAACAGAATATCAGCCTCACATCCTGTCCTATAACTTTCTCCTGTGTGTTGAAAACGAGTCCCTCAGAAAAAGCCCACCATTTATCCCTTGTTATTTACTCAAAGGTTTTTCCGTTCATGAGGGAAAAGTGGCAGACAGCGGGTGGATGGATCCCTTTTAACCACCCCACTCCCCCCTTTCCCAAGCCATAAAGCATTTCTGGGACTATCCACGGTTGTCTCTGGCTTCTCCCACTCTGCGGAAACCTAGTCTACCAGGTGCACACATGTGGCTGCTAGTGCGCACGTCAGGTGATGGCACCCTTCCTCTCGGTGTTCTAAACATAGCTCTAATATAACTTGATGATGTCAGTAATTACTGAATGTTAGGAATGTATGCTTTCTGAAGTATAACTGCCTTTGATTATGTATATGTAACTGTTATAATCATGACTGACAATAAGATGTTTGAACTGTTTTCTCCTACCTCTGACATTGATGAGATTAGTCATGTCTTGAAGAATAGATCAGGAAACCCATGAAAACGCTCTCTCTCTCTCTCTCTTTAAATCTCTTGACGTACGTATTTAGAGAGGCATACCTAACAACCAATTGAATATGCCCCTTTCAGTCACTGGCTCATACTATCACCTGTCCAACAACACATTCTGTGATCTGGTGGGACAATCGGAAAAGCTGATGCACAGATATGAGGATAGACTAACAGACACGCGGCAATTGCAGTGACCTTTTTGTAGAGATTAGCCGAGCCTGATCGCAACATCTCACAAACAACAGGGCGGTCAGCAGAGAGTGGTAACAGCAGAAAAGGACTACAGGACGATTTTTTTTTTTTTATAGGTCACTTTAAAAAGCAAAAGTGCAGCAAACAAGGGGAGACAGGAAATAAAGGAATTTATTCAGGCGATGCAGAGAAAGTATGCAAAATCATTCAGCTCCTGCAGCTGAGTTTGTTGACAGTCAGACATTTGTAGACAGATGTTGCGGTGAGGGAACAGGCAACTGGTTGCATCGCAATACGAGACAAAATACATGATCAGGACTAGAACATTTACGGAAAACTAAAAGCTACTGTAAACAGGTTTGTTTATACCACATGACCAGTACTTCTGGATGTTGTACAACGTTTTGCCTTTTTTATATTTTATTAAGGACTACGTCACTTTTGTTAGATTCTGTCTTGTGGCAAAGCTTAAGACAGATGTTAACAACCGTAAAGGCTGTGGATCAGTTGGTAGAGTCATTCGTCACTCGACCTGAAGGTTGAGGGTTCAATCCCCAGCAGCAACATGTCCGCTGTGTCCTTGGGCATGACACTTAACCCCAAATTTATCCCGCTGCTTTGTCAGCAGCGTATGAAAGCCCATGAATGGGATTAGTAACTTCTGATGGTCACTATACAAAGCAACCTCTGCCATCAGTGTGTGAATGCGTAGGTGTGACATGCGGTGTAAAAGAGCTTTGAGTAGTCACAAGACTAGAAAAGCTCTACACAAGCTCAAGTCCATTTACCATTTACCATTACATTAATCGAATATTAACCTCTTAGGACAGCCACTGCTGATACATCATATCAGTTCAGTTATGGATATCAGCTTCAAAAGATTTGAAAATCTTCCCATGAGATCCATGTTGTCATTGTTAAAGTTAGGTTTCTGATGCATGGTAGTGCAACTATTCCCAGCTTCTTTGAGGCTTCCTACGTACACCCCCAGAGAGAAGCACTGAAATCTGAGATCCAAAAGTTGTCTGCAAATGACACAAGTCTACTCTTACTTTTGAATATGTTCACAATGTTGAGCCTTAAAAATTAAAAAAATAATACAATGAACCATGGTTGGATATAGCCTTGCAGGATATTGACTGTGAATCTTGACAGTAAACTGAAAATTGTGCTGAAGCTTTTTTTTCTTATAAACATGCTAGATATAAATCCTTGCTGAATTTATGTGCTCATTCCACATGAATGCCTGATATTAAGCCTGCGTCCCTGAATTTTATTTTGGAGGTCAATTGCTTCAGGGGTGTGAGCAGGAGGGCTGTAGGAAACTGGAGCCACACACACTTACACACAAACACACACACAGCATAGTAGAAAGGTAAGTGAGCAGCAGGAGGGTACAGGAGAACCATTAGCAGACTGCAGAGAACTGGTTAACACAGTTTTAACAGGAAATATGACTCCTCTGTGAGTGCAGCCTGGTAAAGCAAAGCGACAGAGGACAAAAATAAGAAATAAATACAAATCTTTAAAAAGAAAAAGAAAAAAAACAGAAATCCATATTTAATGTTTTAAAGAAATAGAGAGAAAGTCAGAGAGAGAGTAAGAGGGAGTGTTGTCTGGGGTACATCCTCCACCACTAACCTACGTTTTGTCCCTTCATCTCCTCTGATTTCTCCCCTCACTGCTCCCTCTCCTCCTCCCCCTTTCTTCCTCCCCGGCTGTGGTCCTTGTCCATCCTGTCTGTCTGTCTCTCCATCCTCTGCTCTGACCAAACTTTCTTATCTGTCCCTCCTTTTTTTTTTACTCAAAGAAACGCGGTCAACCTGGCCGTTCTAAAGCTCAACGAGCAGGGCCTGTTGGACAAATTGAAAAACAAGTGGTGGTATGACAAAGGAGAATGTGGCAGCGGGGGAGGGGATTCCAAGGTTAGCCCTCTCTGTCTGCCCAAACCCACCACTAGGGGGGGGCGGGGGCCGCTCACCGGCTTGGCAGCCCGCGACGGCCCCCGTCCTGGGAGTGTAACCACGCATCTGCCCTGGTGAAAAGTCAAGAAGCATAGAGGAAGGACAAAAAACACCCCAAAAAATGTCCTTAGACACCCAGCAACTTTTATGCAGAATGTTGCATCTGTTGTCAGTAGTGTGTGCCTTTTTACAATAAAAGGTTCAGACCCAGTGACAAAGATACAATACTTGAGCTGATTAAGCACTGAATAGAAGAATATGACATTTCTGATAAAAAGAAACCCTCTGAAAATAAAAGCGTTTTTAAATTTAATCAATTAGTTTTTCCCTTTGGAGGCCCTGAAGATAATGAAAATGCTTTTAAAATATCACTTTTGAATAGGGTTTTATGAAGAATCATCCAAGATAAATTTTTCAATATCATACAGAGGAATGTGTCTCCTCTATAGGTGAGGGCCACACACTATAAATCAAGCACTCCTCATGATAATAACCATTTCAAATGTGTGTGGCTCTGATCTGGTAATGCCCCTCTGAAAGGACAGAGTGAGGGGTAATGGGAAGCGGGTTCAGTGATGGATAGTTGGGAAAATAAAGAGAGCAATTACTGTCAAGACAGGAACATTCGCCCTCTAGTGGCAGCTCTGGGGAGAGGAGCGAGGAGGAAAGTGAGAAACACCCTCTCAGGTTGACTTGAAGCAGAAGGGTGGATGAATAATTGATAACAGCAGAATGCAATTACCAGATAAACCTTCTCCCTTGTGCTTTAGTTGGATTTCAATAATTCTATTGATTCAAACATTTGAACCACTCTTTTGTTTCCTCTTTCTTTTAATGATTCTTGTTGTCTTCTGTTTGTTTAAGCAGTCGTAACCGGATTAATGTACTTCTAAAAGTTCTGCTTTGTATATTTAAATAATCACAGAGGAATTAAAGAAACGTGTTCCTTTTTGTGAGAACTGAACAAATCACTAAATTCCAAGAAGTACCATTTAGCAAACTTTATTTTATCATTCTCACCTTTAAAGGAGGTATAACTGGATATCCAAAGTCATTTTGGTGATTCTTCAGGGGACCGTAGATCTCTTTGTGCCAAGTCGACTTCAAATTACTGAGATACTTTATGTTCTTGAATGAACATTTGTGCCTGCTGGCGCTAGATGAAGCGTCAAAGGATTACCAAAGTCACAGAACAGATCAATATCTGTTCAAAATGTTTGCCAAGTTATCCTCAGATTGTGGACATATTTCACCCTGCCCCATGTTAGCCAAGCAGACCCTACTTACTGACCTGAAAATTGCCTTAAAGTCAAACATTTTATTAATGTTGCAAAGTGAGATGGACGGGCATCAAGTAAAGCTGACACCTGTAAGAAGGAGGGATTTACCTATGGCCCTGAAGTCGTCTAAGTTTGAAATCAAATTTTTTTTTTTCCTTGCAGCGTCCTCTCCCAGTCTTAGTACAGTGCTAGCACAATGCTTATAGTCCTAGCTTAACAGTACCTGCCTCTTGTTCAGTAGACGATCAGCTGGGGCAGTATGGGTGTGTTACCTGAAGTGACAAAGGTGGGTCCCACTCATATGTCTGTAGCTCGCCTTAGCTCCTCGCGCCCCCCAGCCCCTCCTCATCGAGCATACACACATGTACTCAGTGGGATCCATGCTAGGTCACTTGATTTGAACAAAAGTACCTTTTTTTATGTGACTGAGCTGTGCAATGCAAATGTAATATACTCTAATAACATAAAATAACATGTCCTATGATGTTATTTATGTTATTTTTACACGCGAAGAACCCCAGTAAACCTTGCAGTTTTGAAACTGAGCGAAGCAGGCGTCTTAGACAAACTGAAAAACAAATGGTGGTATGACAAGGGAGAGTGTGGACCCAAGGACTCTGGAAGTAAGGTCAGTCTCACCCTGCTGCGGCCCACAAAACGTTAGCCTAAAACTCACATCCTTAATACGCTCCAGATTATTCCAACTACTGTTTTAGCATTAGCTATATTCTCAATTAGCCTAACACACATCTCTTTAATGTCCACAGTAGACTTTACAGTCCATCAAGTGACTTTGAACAACATATAGACCAATTTTACATCTTCACATGCATCAAATGACAATCACTTTATATCCTTGTTTATTTCCTGTACCAATCCGGAACAATTTCATCTTCACTTCACATTGACAATTTTTTCATGAAACTCATCTAGACTATCACTTTATCTTTATGCATTAGCCTAAGCATCAGCTTTGCCTTTAGCTTTAGTGATAGTAACCTAGTAGAAGAAAATAGTTTTCACCCTCAGGTTTCAAACGTAATCAAACCAAGGCTATCTTTTTATATCCATAACCAGGAGTACAACATGGTAATGCTTTGTTTTACTGGTAGACCCACATATTGTTTTGGCAAAAACTAACTGCAGGTCAAATGAAGTTTGAACTTTCATGAAACTTCTCAGACAATTGGTAGAAAAAATTATTAACCTTTAAGATAAAGTGTTACCATATTATTCACAAGCATTTGTCTTGTTAATACAATGTTTTACTTAGGTAAGACATATCAAGTTTCAAAGAAGAAAATGATTTTTTTTTAATTAAAGAACTTTAGTTAACTGGAGCCTTTAAATACCATTTAAATCACCGCTCAGAATTAAGCCTGCTCTGTCATTTTATTTCTGTTATTGACTTTAATGAGATGTGCATTCAATGTTAAAGTTGTAGAAATGTAGTCTGTGTTAGGACTGTTACAGATGTGTAAGACTGTATGTAGCAGCTGTTGTGATGATTTTAGTATTAATTGTAGTCTTAGGTGTAGAATGTAAATGAAGTGATAACAACTGTAATTGTAGTAGCATACTATAATAACACAGTTTAAAACAGTATAACACCAGAATTTGTCTCTGATTATATTTCTGTTATAGTCTCCATTTCTCTCTGCTAACTTACTGTTGCCTACATTCTCTATCTGCTTTTTCCCACCTCTTCCCCCAACCTCTCACCTCTTATGTTTTGGCATGTCGTTGCTCGCTGCTCCTCCTTTACTTCCTTCTCCTTCATACTTTCTCCTTTTATTCTTTCACCTTCTCGTAATGATACTTTTTTTTTTAAACCTCCACCATCACTCTGCCTGTTCTTCGCTTCCCTTTTTGTTTTTCATTCATCACCTTTTTTTTTTTCCCACAACATCCGGCCTTGACTCATCCTTCCCCTCACCCCTCTTTCCTTGCTCTACTCCCAACACCCCCCCCCACACACACACACACACACACACACACATCCCTGCTCCCTCTCTGCAGGACAAGTCATCTCAGGCTCTGAGCCTGTCCAACGTGGCCGGGGTCTTCTACATCCTTGTTGGCGGTCTGGGCCTGGCCATGCTGGTGGCCCTGGTCGAGTTCTGCTACAAGTCCCGAGCAGAAGCCAAACGCATGAAGGTGGACCTTAGCCCCCCCCACTGCCCCAGCCCCTCCCCCAGCACCCAGAATCTAGCCACTTATAGGGAGGGGTACAACGTGTACGGCTCCGAGGGGGTCAAGATATAGGGGTAGGACTTAGCGGCTCCCATATAGGTGGGGTAATGGTGGTGTTGATCATGGTGGTGGTGCTGTAGATTTTTGTATTGTCGATGTAGAGGCTGACTCAGCAGCCCATCGCAACCGTGTTGTACTTCATGTGGTGATGACGATGTGGTCAAGCATTGTGGAACCAATGTAGCTTCTTATATTTCTCCAACCTTTTTTTTTTTTTTTTTTTGCTTTTTGGTTTATTTATTGGGCATTTCTTTTCTTAGTTTTGGGGTCCAAATGTGTTTTGTTTTGGTTGTTATTTTTATCCCCTGGCTAGACTGGGGTTAGATTTGTTAGACTACAGATTTGGTTCCATCGTCTTTGGCTGCTGATGATGATGATGATGATGATGATGATGATGGTGGTGGTGGTGATGATGGTGATGATGACATTCATGGTGATGCTCTTGGCTGATGACTTACCATAGGCACCTGCATTGTTACCTTAGCTGAGACTTAAACATTGAAAGAGCAGAGATGCACAACTCCACTTCGATGACAAAATACTTAATGTAGAGATGCAATTATCACCTTTAGTATTCACTTTTAATTTGCCAAATTTTCTAAAGTATGGACTGTGTTGTCTAAACAACACTCAAAAACCCAAATGTTTTTACTATATAGAGAATATAAAACCAGGGAAAGCAAAGTTAAGCATTTAAAAAAAACTAAAAACAGGTGTGACTATTAACAGACCTTCTTAAATATCACTTGAAATAGTTTGTAGCGTAATTTTAAAAAACTAATACTTAAAAACCTTTTTAAAATATTTTCTTCAAATGTTTGAAATACACCGTAATTTACCATCGTCAGATCAGAAGTTTGTTCCTCACTAACATCTACTTCCAGCCACATGTTCATTACATCTAATGTTTGGACATCAAGTCGTTATGTGATCGACATCCTGGGAATGAAAAATACTATCAAGTTGTCTCTCATATCAGAAGAAGCCCAAGATAATTTCCCTAACTAGATGAGCAGTACCATGAGTACCACTGCAGTATCAGACAAACACAAAAAGCGTTTGCAGCTATTGAGCCAATTTAAACAAATTAAGGCTGAGAATTCTGACAGCTTGAGAAAAGTCAAAATGTTGCTTAAAATGCAGATTTTTATCTTAAGTTACTTAAGGTAACATTTTTAATTATGGAAGTTCGAGTTGTGACGGGAACAAATGAAATAGGCGGAGGATTTTTTTTTTTTTAACCCAGCAGCAGTTTTTAATTGCTTTTAATTTTTTGATTTTTGATCAAAAAATTTTGATCATAGATATCAGCCAACCTGCAGTAAAACTCGAATTTTTTTATCTCAATGAATCCCTCTATAATGTACAAAATGTTATAAATGCACCTACAGTAATGACTTGTCCCTCTTGCCTCATTCCTAGAGGGATACCTTATACTGTATGCGCTCATGGATTGGTGCTTAATTTCATATGTAGCCGATAGAAAAACTATTAAATGAATTCAAGTAAACCAGGATACACAAATCCACATAGATGTAGAATGCATGTACTGTTAATAGTTTATTCTTATACTGACCTTTTGCAGCTCCAGTGACTTTAAATAAACCTCTCCATATATAGTGTCTTTAATATGTCATACATAATCTGGAGTTGTGCACCTCTGTATAACACAGTCCAAACAAGCTTTCTGACTTATTCCAGCCCCGACTACCAAACAGCCCAGTTACTTTGTTTTAATGCAGAGGAATTATTGATGAAGCGAACACTTCATATTGAACGGCTACTCAGTGATGTGCTTGTTAAAAACATGACCCATGTTTATTGATGTAATAGACCAATTAAGTGAAAGAAAACTCTTTGAGAACCTTTCAGAGGCATAATAAATCATATTTGATAATCACCTTGAGACAATTTGCAGGATCAATACTCAGGATGCTGACGTAAAGACAGCTTCATGCAGAACGCTAAATATTGGCTTTTTATCTGTGTAAGGGGAAAGGTGCCAAAATCAAATGAGTGCAATGCTTGCTGTAGATTGCTACTTCCGCCAAAAAGTAACACTGACACTAACAGCTTTTCGTTTATCATTCTGCTATGAAACTCTCTGGATGTCTGCCATATTTAAGATTTTCATCCAAAAGAGTTGAGTTACAAAAATCAACAGAAGCCAAAAAAAATATTTTCCTTGGAAATGGTCTTGGAGGTTCTTTTAGAGAAGAAGGTTTTCTCTTTTTGTTTTAAATTGTGCTATAAATCAGCATGGCAGCACTCATTTAAAGAGGAAGAGGGTAAGCTGTTGTCTTTCCTCTCTGCTAATGTGTTACCACACACAGCTGGATGTTTGTAATCGCAGAGTAAACTTTTTCAGATATTAATGCTGTATGAAAGCCATTAGTTAATAAGAAAATCTTACGGTTGCTTAATTTCAGACCTCAAAGGCATAACAGCTACATTTTCCTTTCTCTAGAATCTCTAATTTACACAGGCTTCTCACACTGGATTGGCATTAACTGTGGTGGAAATGCCTTTAACTTCATTCATAGCAAAGTAATTAAAGTATTATTATTCCGATTTGAGGTTTTTCCTCTCACAGCAGCAGCAGTGCTAACATTACTGAAACATCACAGAGTAGCCTGCCTGTGTGAAGTGTCCCCCCCCTACTCCGAGCAGTATAGTCAGTCACTCCCTCTCTATAAATCTGAACCCTTAAAGGAAAAAAAACACTCCTTCATGTTCTCTGTTTGTCTTTCCAAAGTCCTCACCTTACAAATCCTATATGCTTTCAAATCCTCACCCAAATTTTTTGTCAGATAACTCAAACCCAGAACCCAGAAATGCATGGTCACTTCTGAAATGCAGATGTCTACAACCCAAATCCCCTTTGTCCACTACTGTATGTACATGTTTGTTGACTGTTGCCTGCATATACGTTCACTGTTACCTTTGGTAAAATAACAAATATGTGACTGTGGCCTTTGCACTGTGTTGTAGCCCTCTGGTGAGAGTTGAATGTGTAGTTTGGGTTGCATCCACACCATGTCAGTTTTAAGAAATGAATTTTAAACTCTTAGGCATTACTACATGCATTCAGCTTGTTTAAATATGAACATTTATACTTGAATGCACAACATGCAAGTGTTCTGAGCTGATGCAAAAATGGAAATCTTAGTTCTTTTTCAAGCAAATTTTGGTGAATGTAGTTCAGAAAACAAACAATAAAACATTTAAAACAACCGAGCAACCAAGGTACTTGCATGTGTATCAGGCAATAAGTAGTTTACTGTCTCTGTAATCCTACTTAAAAGACGCAGGGCCCAATGTTACACCAAAGCATCGTGGCAGGCAGCACAAGTGTTTGTTTTTTCCATCTGATGCCGTTTTCACCCCCAGCACCCACCTCGTGTAAAAAGTAAGCAAACTTGCACCCAATTAGCGCTGATGGGTGTTTTGGTCTTAGAGGTGAGGTGAGGCGCACAGGTGGTGCACCCTTATCTTGAAGACACGGTCCACTATCTATCATGCAGTATGCTCCTGCAATTTAGAGTGCACGTTAGAAAAATGGGCATACTTAAAGAAGTTCATCACAGACTTTAACCCTGTCAGACACACGGGGCTGCACAGCAGTGCTCCCACTGCTTAATAGAATATATTTTTTGCGTTTGCTGACAACTTTTTAATGCAGAGGGCGGAAAGACGCCAAGCTTTTGTTTTCAGCTTCCCCTGTTATCTTAACATTTCTTTCAATATGATTTCAGTCTGGTGATGTCAGAATTAGAGGAAACACACAGCGCTACCTCTAGGGAGATTCCTGTTTGAGTTGCAAATATTCAGAAACCTCCAGCTGAAACAGGAAACTCTCCATGATGAGTGCTCGCTCCAATGCGCGTTCTGTCTAATACAAGCAGAAGCAAACAAGCACACACACTGAACTCGGCACCCAGATTGTGTGCCACATAGCTGGCAAAATGACCTGATTTGCTTTGCGCCTGGCGTTTTAGACAATGCGCTCCAGACCAATAAAATAAGGCCCACAGCTTTATCAGTAGTGCGACTAATTGGTACGTAATTAAAAGGCACATATAGTGGAAAAATTCTTATGACAAGTTCCTCCAGCCAAAGGCAATACATATAAATCAAATACAACAGCCTAAATCACATGCACATATAAGTAGTACAAAGAATACTTACAAGTAAAAAAAAAAAAAAAAATTGTTGTTGATCTGGCAGCAGCAAATGTTTGTCTTTTTTTGCTTGGAAAATGACTTCAGAGATGATTGGTTATAGACATTGATTCTGATTAATTTGGCAATGACTCTTGAGTTATTTGTTTCAACACAATATTGTTTATAACATGACTTACAAATCCAGTTGAAAAAGTGAACTGTAAATGGATGTGTGATTGCACCCTCAGACATGTCTAACGTATACTTGTGGTGGTGTACTGTATTATGTGCACAGGCACTAGCATGTATGAACATTTGTTGTGCATGTGTTTGTATTGAAACTGTTGTGTCTTTACACAACTGGTGGCATTTGTTGAACTGTTTCTACAGCTGTAAGATTATCTGTTTGTTTCTTTTTAAACTAAATCTCCACTCTGCTGTCTCCACCCTCCTCCATCTCTTCTCATATTCAGCTGTCTTTTTCTGAAGCCATGCGGAACAAGGCCCGTCTTTCCATCACAGGAAGTGTGGGGGAGAATGGCCGCGTCTTGACGCCAGATTGCCCCAAAGCCGTGCATGCTGGCCACGCCCCTCTCCGACACCCTGGCCTTGCAGTGGTCTCCTCTGGACTGCCCTGAAAACCAAAAACACCTGCCGTGCCTTAACGACACACCAACATACAGACTGGGACAAAGACACACACACACACACACACACACACACACACACACACACACACGGACACGGACACATGTGCTTACATACAATCGCACACATGCCATTATCATGCATAGAAACACACACACACATGAAGACATGAATACAATTTCAGATACTTAAATGCAAATACTTCTATAAAAAAGTGAACACACAGACACACAGTGCACATCCTCATCTCACTCTCCTGCTGCCATTGACTTCTTTTCCAAGAGACAAGAGAAATACAACTGTGGAGAGAAGAGTGGATTTAAAAAAAAAAAAAAAAAACGTAACAAAGGACATCTCTGACTCTCACACTTGCCTGCAGCAGCCATATAATTATTTCCGGAGAGGAAATCCTCCTGATATCGTCATACCTTCAGAAAGCCAGCACAGACTGACATGAAATGAACTTTGAGCTGTGAACATGACCATCTACCTGATCATGATGATGATAGTGATAAAGATGATGATCACAGCCGACAGTATATATAAAGAAAATACAACCAAACAGTTCTGCTCCTGCTCTGTCGTCATTTGGACGATGTTGGCCAGTATGCCACACCCCTTGACAACGCCTTACTAAGACTCCAAAACATTGTTTTCATCATCATCATCATCATGGTCATCTTTACTTGCCTGCAAAGACTGAGTGCCAGGTTTTATCACCCTTAGAAGACCAGAAAACTGTAACCTTGAACGTTCAGACTGTGCAAACCCACTCCTTTTTCTTTTTGCCATGGACTGTTCGAATTGAATGAAAAATTGCTTTCTTCTTACGCATAGAGAATGATTTCTCGCCCCATTCTGGTGAGATAATCACGCCGGTATAGAACAGAAGTAACCTCCCAAACACTTACGTGCGGTTGATCTCGGCTGCAGAACTCACGGGGTTTGTAAAAGAAAAGAAAAAAACACTGTAGTAATTCAAGAAGTCCTTCATCAACAGCATCTTCATGGCAGTAGATATGCTAAATAGCATAGAGGTAAAGGCGAGGTTTAAACTGTATATTCAGTTGTGGGAAATAAAAAATACGACACATGAGCAGATCTCATATGACTACCTAACAAAGTGCTTCTCAACCTCACACCGGGACCTTATAGACTGCAAAGCGAATGATTGGAGAGAGAAACAAGGTATCTGGGATAGCAAAAATTCTGCCTCTATGTCTGCGTGAATGAAGATACAAATTTCCAGACACTAAAAAAAGCAAAACAAATCAAAGTACTTTAAAACAAGGGTGGTAGAAAAGGTTGAGAACCGCCGGCCACATGCTCTGTGCACTTCCACTCTACTTGAAGACCTTTAGATTCAGCTTTCAGTTTCTGAAAAAGTAACGAGTCTTACGGGCAGTTTGGTCGTCATGTGAGATCCTCATTCTTTTTTCCAGCGTTTGGAGAAAGGTCCCATTATCAGAAAAGCTTGCTTTTTAAAACTGTTGTAAATAACTGCGTAGCAAAACAGAACTCACCTGTTTTTTTTTTTCATCATCTTAGATAACAATTCATTGCAATAATGAATATAAAAGAAAAAAATGCCACTACTTGTAATTAAGATCAGATCTTTTTTTATAAATCTACATATTATATATAATACAAATGAATATATATCTATACGTCTATAGAGAGCTATAGAAGACATTGATCACAGATTGTCAGAGGCCATGGCATACATTCTGTTATATGGCTGTTTTTGTTTTCTTTTGATAACTTGAGAATATTAATAAGCCACTGTCTTTGTGCGTTCAGCTCAACACTGAATGTCCATCTGGTACTCACATGGACACACACGTACGATGGAAAGGCACGCACACACATTGTTGCATACACAGGGTCAGCTCAGAGTGATTGCTTCAGCACCATGAGACGTTTGGGCGATTTTTTTATTTATTTTCCGCCTGTTTGTCTGTTTTTTCACAAGTAGTTCTTCACTGTTTGTCACTGTCCAACTGTTGTTTTTACTCCTGTAATCTTCTGTCTGTGAATTCTACATGCCCTCTGGAACAGCATGCAGATTACAGTCTTCAACACTTGGAGGCCAGAACACTTTCAGGGTGGCCTCAGGACAGGAGGGGGGGCCATTGTGGCTTCAGTGCAGTAGGAAAACAGAGCGGCCTGACATTTGGAGAGTGTAGCATTTGTGTTGCATTTCCTCATCGCCTCAGTGCTTTTTGTTATTTGTCTTCTCACCAGATGCGAGGCTGCCACACAGTGAAATCCAACATGATCAAAAGCCACAGATTGAAGATAGAAGCTAAAGATTGGACTCATAATTGAGCCGGGTATGCACTTTTTTTTGTGGACATAATTGGATCCATTCGATTCTAAAAAGTAGAATTAGTAATATACCATATGGCTGCCTGTTTTGGCACATCCTTTTGCTGCCAGCCTTTGGGAGAGAAAAATGTTCTTGCATTAATATCGGAGAAAAACAATTAGCAAAAGAAGAAAGGTTTTCTATGGACATTGGTGCAATTTTACTCCTTTTGTTGCAATACAATTAAGCATGCACAGAGATTGTGCCATACAACATATGAGGATTAATTCTTCCTTATTGTCTTTTTTTAATTATGATTCAATTTTCATTGTGACCTTCCTACTGTCTCTAAAATCCTTCTTGCTCTTTTTCTTGTTTTGTATTCCCCCTTTCCTTTCTTATTGCTTCTGTCTCCCCTTCTGCCCCCCTATGAGACAGAACTCTGTACAAAGTGCATCTCAGCAATGACAAGTTACTTTTCTGCCCTATTACACTGCAAAAATAATGGGATAGCTGCTTTGAATTCTGGACCCGGGACACCAACTGACAATCTGAGCTTCATCTGGTTCTCTTTTCTGAACATTGCAAAGCGTTTTACTTTGTAACCATTAACATTTTGCAAAACAAAAAAAAAACACGGAAGAACTTCAACTTCTTTGATAAACTCTCACACACACACACACACACTTAGAGACACACACCTCCAATGCATCAGTTCTGCATCAAATGTGTTCAGGTTAAACTCCATATAAATTTTATTATCTTAAAACAACAAGTGTCTCTTTATGGCTGAATGGAATAAGGGAGACTGTTTCCAATCACCTCTTCTTAGCTCTTGGGGTCAGTGCAGCAGAACTGCAGTAATCCAGCTTCAGAGAAATAGTGCAAATAGTGGATTTAGAGCTAAATTACTTTTGTCGAGACAGATACCACTGATTTAACTATCAGGACACCCACACACCTGGAAGTTCAACTTTACAAGATACTGTTGTGTTGTTGTTTCTCGCCTCCTCCAGAACATTAGATTTCATGCAGTGACGGCGAAAAGCTGACCGCTGGGCTGTCAACACTCTGGCTTTAACACACTGTTTTTTTATTTCTTGATTTCTGTCTTTCCATTTGGTTTCTTTTTCTAGTAAAACATCAATGCTAAACATGGCCTCTCTGTGTGCTTATTCATGAACTGTTTCTTTCCTTTTTTTGACTATAACCAGGCTACCCTTTCTTACAGCCAAATCACAGAATTGATTTAATTTTACCACATCACATTGATGACTTCTTTTGTTTTAAAGCTTAAAACAATGCAGTTTACGTAATTAAATATCATGTGAAATGTTGTAAGACGTGCATGTTGTATGGCACATTGCAATACTCTTTTTACAGGATCATTTTATGATTTTTTTTATCATATTAGGAGAGATCCACTGCATCTCAAACCAACCGCATAACCTTGAGGGACAGCAGATGTATCAAATTAAGTAATTGCTCATAAAACAATCACCTTGCTGCCGAGCAACTCTTGATACCCCTCTTGATAGCCCTGATCATGTGGTGGGAGTCCCAGGCCTGTACAAGCTGTATGTGAGTTCATAAAAAGGTTAAAAGTCAAATGTTGACCTCTTATTTTTGCCACATTATCACAACAGAATGTGAATCCAGTAAAAACGTGAAAAGTGATATGCTTAACACATACCATACGTATGTGCATAAAACTAAGACGCAGTATAATGCCTGAATTCCATACTTTAAAAATTTATTTTAAGGTAATTAATAAGTCTAAGAATCTACAGGGTGAGAAAGCTTAGAGAGGCCCTACATTGGATCATTTGATTTCAAAAAAGATATTTCCTACTAAAGTTTCTAAACTATAAAACCTCTATATTCCTATATAAGATGGACACTTTGTTACACTTTAGATTAGATTTAATGTTTCGGTCAGACTGTTCATTCTTGTAGTTTTCCTACTTTCATTGAGTGATCTTTGCCTTACAGCTTTAGCTTCTTGCACTGTGTTTAAACATCAACTCTGCATTTATAAAATGAAATGTTTTTGTTTCCAAGCTGGTCTTTTTTTTGTGACATTTTTTTTTTATTTAGCTCTAGATCCAATTCATAGCAATACATGGCTTAGCTTCTGTGTTAGTACTACAGCCATCCTTGCCAAACAGGGGCCATGCTGAGCAGATTGTACTGTAGTAATACTGTGTATAAGTACCTCAAATGACTCACTTTAAATTATCCGTCCAATGAAAATGCTAATATGTTCATAATGCTAGGATTGGCCAGTATGATTTACTTCTATTGAGTAGCATGTTAGTATGTTGACATTTAATAATAAGGCTAGAAAACTTGTATTCAGTCTTCAACTTACATTTTAACAAAAAAAAAAAAAATGGACCTGATGTTTGTGCTGTACAAAAGTCAGGGCGTTACCAAAGTGATATCATCCAGAGGGGATCATGAATAACTGTAAATGAATCCAGAAATTATCAAGGATTATCATCTTATACCAAAATTGTTTAACCAAAAAAAGTCTAACCTATGGTAGGGTGAGGGTCACATAAAGAGTCTCGTCAAAGTCAATAAGTTTCATCATCTGGAGACTATGACTGTCCGTACTTGATTGTATACCAATTGTTCCAGAAGCCAGATGCTGCATGGTTTCTAATACTGCTAAGATCAGCAGTTACAGGGTTAAATATCCCTTTGCCATTGTGTCATTTGGGCTCCTTTTTTTTCAGTCCAGGGAGACCTAACACCCCTAATGCAGAGCCATCACTGACAAGCATTTCCCATTATATCCCCTCTCACTCAAACTCTCACACACAGAGACAAACAAGCACACACTCACCTACCACACTGGGTTATTACAGACAAGTATTTCCCATTTACCCGAGGATGAAGCAAAATAACAATTTTGAGACGGCTCTGCCACCCTTTTAACCTTGCAACCTTCACATGCAACCTTCACATGTGCACACACACATCTTCAATCAGTCTCTTTTATCTGCAGAGATACAGCAGACTTCATTCCCTTTTGATTTCCATTGGCTCATTACATCTCTTCTTCCTCAATCTCTCTCAATTCTGTATTATCCCTCATTCTGTTCAGCCCCACCTTATTCCTCCCCTGATCTGTATTCCTCTGCTCATCGTCTCCCCCCCCCGTCCTACCTGTCTTGTCTCTCCATTTTTTGCATTTGTTTTGATTTCTCATCCAGAGATCCTCTCCCCTCATGACCACCTCCACCGCTCTCACATTTTCTTTGATCGGATATAGGAAATTGAATTCCATAATCACTCCCTGCAGCTCACCCCTATGCTGTTTTGTTGTTGTCACCGCTGCTGTTGGTACTGTTGTGGTTTAGTTATTTCAGGACTACTGAGAAGTACTTTTGAAACAAACATAATAATAACATATTGCATAAACAGAGTCATACAGATAAGACATGATGAGAGCAAATGCACTCATAAGTCTGTGATTCTAAGCTGTTATATTGGTACTATCCTTTTCCAACTAAATGAGGATAAAAAGATTTGTATTTATTTTCATGCCATCATAAAAGTGTGATTTAATAATTAAGTGAAGAGTCAAAAGTGAATCAAAGGGAACTCAAACCAAAGGATTGTTTCGGATCTCTTTGCTCACAGTGAGTAAAAAATATCTGTTGTCTCGTCTCGTGGTACACTGTGACCATGTTTAAAGTGAATGTAGTCAGAGTCAGAGTAGTCACTGACCATCATGACGTACAAGTGCTGCAAGTGCAAGCTTAATGAGAAATCATGGTGGCTTGTGGAGAAAGAACACCCTTAGCTTTTCCATTGTCAATGTACGTCAATATAATTTTCTAAAGGAGGTTGCAAAAAATCAGAAAATCCCTTCAGCGCTTTTAAACTCAAATCACCTTGAGTAAAATGCCCAAAGGGAACAACAACTTACTCTTTTCACTTTTCAGAATATTTCCCCATATTCAAACGACACACTGCTGCTACATGTTCAAGTGACACGCATGTTAGCCTGATTGCTGTTTTATTTCTTTTTCTCTAAAAGAACGTATTTGAATCTACCTTCAACACATAAACAGACGTAAAATTGCAAAAACTCTTTTTGTAATCTACATTAACTGCAACACACACAAAAAACATGTCAACATCGAAGAATTCTTGCTCAAGTGAAACCGAAGACTGAATGTCAGTTTGGCAAGGCTCAGCTGACTCACTGTATCTCTCTTCTGTCTAAACTACTAAAGCAACCCTCTGTGAAATGAAAAATGTTCAGAATTCTGCAGCAACTCTGCTTACAAAGACCTGAGATCAGCTCTGATGTCCATCCACAATTTTTTCTTTTTCGAATCTCCGAAAACCGAAGTGAACTGAATGTCAGACATGCTTTAAAGGTAATAGAGCTCTTAAATCCATGGGCAGAGAACTTTTAGCAAGACCCAGACAAGAGTGAGGTCCGTGAGCTTTTAGTTTCAATCTGTGCCACCTGTATGTTTTTTATTATTAGGAGAGGAAATATTACTTTATTTCTGTCTCCATCTCTGGCCTCAGCTGACATGTTTCATACAGTCCACACAGCAGTCAGGAGAGTCACTAGGCTCTCAGCACTAAGCTGAGGGACCATTTTCATAACAATATCGTGGATATTCAACACAAACCCTGAAGCAAGCAAAGGATATTTTAGGTACAGCTATCAAAAAATAGAGCAGTCTTTATTATTTGATCTGCCTGTTGTGAGCTTAAATTTTTAGTGACTGTGTTTGTGTGAGTATAATATGTGCAGTAGCGATTCTAGAGTCTGTTGGGGCCCAAGGCAAAAATCAGTTGGGGGGGCCCTCCAACCAGTGTTCAGCAGGGCAATGGAAGTGAATGCTGTCAGAAGGGGCTCCCTTAGGGAGGTTTCCTACTGTCAATGCAAAATTTGCACATTATGGGTCGCTGCTTTAGTTTAAATTTTGTCTGCCCTCTGGGGCCCCCTACTGGTCTGGGGCCCCAAGCAGTTGCCTGCCTAACCTGTTGACAAGCAGCGCCTCTGAGTATGTGTGTGTACATGTACAGTACAGTATGTTGGGATCTGTGGGGGCTCATGTTATTTGAGAGTTGAGAGAAGCTCACACTTTTTATCTAGATGTTTTAAATGTCATCCCGACCTGGCCACCCTTTATAATCTCTGCTCATTTAAGAGCTCCACTTTTGCAGAAAAAAAAATAACTTTTGCACTTTCATTTCTCCGTGATATAAAAAACATTAAAATGTAATATTTTAAAAAGGCCCTGTGTCACTGGGTTACATCAGCTTCAGTGAAATCCTCAAAAGTTGGCTCTTTAAAGATTTGGCGTTATGCTCTAGGAGTGATTTTAAACGCTTGTCTCTTCTTATTAGCCTGCATTGATCCAGAGAACCCCCTGATGGGCTCTCTGAGAGCACCCATACAGAGGACAAATAAAATGTAATCATCTTCTGATTCTCTTTTAATATCTCTCTCTGAAGGCAGCACTGGGAACATAAAGACATGAGAGAGGCTGGCCATCAAAGGCAGTACTTGTGGGGCTTGATTTTATTCAACTCTGAAGACAAATGTCTAAATGTTTTTTCACAGCCATGAACTAAAGGAATGAGTGAAATATGACAACTGATATGCATAGACAGATATTTATACATATCAGTTATTGACAATATAAGAAAAATGATAAGAAACAGGTCAGGTTATCTGATATAAAGATATTTTAAGAAGAAAATGGACAAATATTCAAAAACAATAATAGTACAAAGCGCTGTGTTGGATGATATGTACTCTTCAAGTGACACTGTAACATGTCTCAGAAATTAAAACACTCACGTTTTCTTGCATGCAACCAAAACTTCCAGACATAACTGCTCGTCACAGGTATTAGGTCCACATCTCTTTACAGCCAAAAACATCTAATCTTAGAAAAGGAACAGCACAGGTGTTAAAGACAAAATGATGGCTGGATTCAAATTTAGCTGCTTTAGTTTCTTGTTCAAAAAGTGCTTTGGCAACTGTAACAAAATGCGTAACATCAGGTTAAAAGCCAGCCTACAAAATCACAATATTAACATGCAATGAACATTTTAACACAGCATTGATCGTAACATAAAACTATCAGTAAAAAAAAAAAAAGGCGAGCACTCATGCAGTGGATTACTTGACACTGATTTGCTGCATAAATAAAGATTAGGACACAACATTTCCAGTTGTTCACATATTCTTATATAAAACATGTCTACACTTAAAAGCATGTGTTGCATTCATACTACAGCTTTTGTTGTCAAATGTTTTGTGCATTAGCATATTTAGATGGTGCACTGAACAGCTGTTCAAACTTGTCACATTGTATAAATCAAAGATGCTCAGGGCTATCCAGCTGTGTGTGCCAAACGAATCCTAGTTCATGATTTTTATGATCATGGTATCTTTTTTTGTCCCGTCACCCATTTTATGAAGACATCATAAGGCACTGCGTTATCGTGATGGTCGTAAATATGTCAGCCCTCTGTGTCAGTCTTCTCCTTGGCCAAATTTCAATGCGTGAAAGGCTTGGGTGAGCAGCTGCTTGTGCCACTCAACATATTGTTAAATCTCTCTTCTTTTTTTTCTTTTTTAAGTCTTTTCCTCAATGATGATCTTTGTGCAGCTGCATTCTCTCTTTCTCCACATGGAGGCGTTCTCTCTCAATCTGCAGTCTGCCAGCCTCAAATTTAAAGAACTGCAGTCTCTCTTTCTCCAGCTGCAGTCTCTCCTTCTCCAGTTTAAGCCTTTCCGTCTCCAGATCCACCGCCGACGTCCAGCCTTTGCCTTCTTTCTCTCTATCTCTCTGTCCCTCATAGTGGGTGGAGGATAAAGCAGGCGTGGAGGACGAGGGCGGGCCTTGTTGCGGCGGCAGGTTGAAGGAGGAGTCAGCATGTTCGGATTGGCTAAGCAGCTGGAGCCTCAGCCTCTCCCTCTCCACCTGTAGCCTCTCTTTCTCCAGATGCAGTCGTTCCCTCTCTACCTCCATCTGTCGGAGACGCTCCTTCTCCACCCCTAGTCGCTCTTTCTCTACCCCCAGGCGTTCGGTTTCCACAGCCAGGCGCTGTTTCTCCAGCTCCAATCGCTGTTTCTCAATAGCAAACAGAAAGCCCGCCCCCGTGTTTTCATGATTGGTTACTCCACCCAGAACATGAGCTGACATCCCCATGGGGCCCCCAGGAAGTGTCAAGTCTCTGCTGAATGTGGAGGTCGGCGTTTTACAGGAGGTGAGCATCCCCAAGTCCCCGTTGTGCGAGTAAACATCACTGACATGCCCCTCCCCACGTGACTCCATGTCACTGAGGAGGGAGGGGATGTCATCTTCATCTATTTCTCCATCTCCCACGTCACCGTCACCGTTCAGCTAGAGGGAAAGGGTGAAGCCATTAAAACACGTGAAAAAAGGGTTTATGATGTGGCTGTAGAGGAAGCTTTGCACAGCCTTAGACTGGGATCAGGCTACAGGAGTATCAGGTAGATTTATAGCTGATTTTAACCCCTAAACAATGAGAGAGAAATCTAAACTGCTGGGTTAAACTGCTCCAGTTTGAAACCCTCGTAGAGTTTGCGATCCCTCGTTGAGTCTACTGTGATTACATCAAAAACAAATGATTTTTTTTTGCCTGAATATGTCAGAAATTTCCAAGGACCACAATAGCCAATAAGGAAGAAGATTACAAGGAAGAAGAAGGAGCCACTAATGATTAGCAAGCAAGCAACAATAAACAACGTTTAGCCCATGAGGCGGACTATAACATACTCATCAACTATCAAAAACACATCTGTTGAGTGATTTTCAAACTGACTTTAAAATCACCACTTCCTCCCATGCCTGTCTCTTCTTTAAAATGATTTTAAGAATCCTGTATTCCAAGCATGGCCCTCCAAAGTAACTATGAAGAGGGTGAGATAAAGTTGCATTATGGGAAATAAAGGATTGATTGTGTTTGGAGCTTGAGCCATACTCGAATCTAAAAAATCCGGATACCTGCCTCTGTAGTTTTTAGATTCTTATACTGTATATAAAGATCCTAGTTAAGATTATCGAGGATCATTTCACAGCATATAGTTGGGAGGTTTGTGTTTGGGAAAATGCTATGTGTTTTTTGAGCGCATTGGAAGTGTTAGGCTCTCTCAGCTGCAAATAGTCTGGCTCACATGAAACATTTAACCATGAAACACTTTAATAAGACTGTTAAGACTAAATTGGAGGATCCTTATGGAGTGATTGTGGAAGATAATAACATACGACTCACAATCTGAACAGATAATGAGAGAGAGCTTAATGCAATCAGCAAAAACTAACATTAAATGTCATGTTTAAATTAAAGTAACGGTCTTGATAATTAAGTTTGACCTGCCTTGTGGACCTACATGTGTTCCATTAAAAGACTAACAAGGGCCACTTGAGCTACATAATGTGCTATAATCACGGTGATATGTTTCATATAACTGCTGCTGATGAGGACATTAATGAAGCTAATTAAAGCAAATAGTGCCATGTAAGTATAGACTGATTCTCCTCCTATAACAGTGTTAATAATCGAAGTCCTGATCTGACAGAACCACTACGTAGATGCATATTTGAATTAGGTTTAATCAAAATCTACAGAGGCTTTTATTCCTACAGACATAATAATTACCGTATAGCACCATAAGCTTCTTTTTCTTACTCTGTATTCACTGACGTCGTCCTCCATCTTCACACCCAGAGGTGCCATCATGGCCTGTCCACTCGGCTCACTAAGACCCTCAAGCTCCGGCCAGTCGCAGTGACAATCCTTTGAGAGGCCCGAGAGGTCAATCAGCTGGTCACAGCCAGATCCCAGAGAAGCCGCCTCGTGCTCAGGGGACGACTGATCGTACTCAGTCTTCATGACCAACGAGGAGGATGAGGAGGAGGAGAGCGAGAGCTCAGCCTGAAGCTGCTTTCTCTTCATCAGTGCACGCCAGTCCAGGTAACGACGCTTCACCTGTGCAGAAGGTCAGAAAGGAAAGAAGCAAGTGTTCCGAGATATTAGAGGGGGTAAAGACAGGATGAGATTTTAAAAAGTAAAAGCATGACTTGGAACAAATAAATAAATACACCTCAGCAGCAGTGCGTAGCTCTCCCTCCCCCAGGGAATTTACACCTTGCGCCACTTCCTCCCATGCCTGTCTCTTCAGCTCATTAATTGCTGTGTTCTGTCAAACACAAAGAGGAAAAAAAAACACAAACAATATATGTTTTATATCAATGCCAGTTTTCCATTAAGCATTAAAAAGCTGCCATGCTAGTCAAAATCATCCTGTGATGTATAGCCTCAGGATAGTAGGAGGCAAATACCAGCATCAAAACTGACTTAAAAACAATGTAATAGTGATGGATTGGTTGAAAGATATATATTCTTCTATATACCTTGTTTGTAAGGGTTGCATTTAGAGGCTCAGTGTTCCTTTTGTTTGTTTGTTTGAGTTCTGATGAAGATGGGAGTTTAACATCTTTCGGGTGAAAATGAACAGTGTTAGTGCTCTCTGGTGGACATCCAAGGTAATGGAGATTCAACTTTCAAATAATTCAAAACGTATTTGGCATACCTCTAAAGCACTTTCTTTGTACAAAGCATCTACTTTTCAATACTGATGTAATAAAGATAAAGATCAACTTTATTGATCCCCCGTGGGGGAAATTTTTGCATTACAGCAGCTCCAGAAAACAGGGGACGGGAATATACTTACTAAAAATAAAAAATAAAAAATAAAAATAAAAATAAAAATAAAAATAAAAATAAAAAATATATAAATAATATGGGCCAAGCTACTGATGCAACTACTTGATTGGTCCAAGTCAAATGTTTGTCTTGTGCTTCTGCCTTGCTATTGGGTAATCACTTCTTACAGTAATTTAATGTTGTCCAAGCCCCCTAAGAAAAATCTGTCTCTACTTTATTATACGTAAAGTACATATAAGCATATGTACTGATTTTCACTAATATATAAAAGAAATGTACAAACATTTTACAACAGCTTGAAGACGACTTGGAAAAAGTTGCTTATTGGACAGAGGGGTTTGCATACATGATTGTGCTGACTGGTTCTTACTGTTGATGATATGTCCAACTCAGTTTCCTCTTCAGAGCACAGCGATTACAGAACATAAGTCTGTTGTCTACTGTTCTTTACATACTGATCGGAGTGCAGTAAATGCATCAGCATTATTGCAAATTCATACATAGCATCCTGCTCAACAGAAAATGTTGCAACATTTGTTTGCAGCATAGCATGGTGGTACTTATTTGTGATGTATTATTATTTTTTAATGCATTAACAGCTCTTAATGTATATGTTCTTATCAGATAGCATGGGAAAAAAAGAAAAGATCGTCACCTGCTGCCTGGAGAACAACACGTCCCTCCTCTTATGGATCTCTCTGATGAGAGTTTGTGTTTCTCTCACACTGTAGTTGCTCTTCCTCTTCCTCTTCAGATGCTTCATCTGCAGGAAATCCAGCTTGACAGGAAGGAGGGGTTGGAAAACCCAAAACAGAGACAAGGAGAGACAACTGGGGGGAAAAAATAAATCTTATGGTAGAGATGAAAGAGTTTGTGTGGAAGAAGAAATGTAAAAAGGTAAAAAAAAAAAGAAAGAGAAATAGAGCAGATGAAAGTGGGTGCTCCGTCCTGCGTCTGATGGAGAGATTTTTTGATGTTTGTTGTTACGCCATTTCTCAGTTTCATCAACAAGGAATCCCTTAGTGGCTCCGGCAGTCCCTGTGAAGTGTTCCACCTGGGAGACTGATCCCAGCTGTTACACTAGAGGCTGCCTGTGTGCAGCAGCATGTGAGACTTGAAGATGTGTAGATGTAAGGTACAAACTAGTGTGTGTAATTGCAGAGGTCACAGCTGGTCGGCTTGTTGAGTTAATCATCCAAATCTTTCTCGAACTTCAGATGGAGAAGGAAGTTTTGCCTGGATTGGGGTTCTTCTTAAATGAAGCCAAGGCCACAGAGGTTATCAAGATGAGACTTAGGGTTTTTGACCTTTGTTTATTCTGCCTGCATGTCTGCCAGAGGAGCTTACAGGGAGGAAGCATCACAGGCTGACAGGGTGCTGCATTCTTCCTGTAGTAAAGACAGAGAACAGGCACTGTGTATTAATAGGATACAGAATGTGCAGATTTTTTATAACCAAACTTGAGGTAGGCTATGTTTATTTGTTGATGGGCGTCCACATTATACGGCCCTTGCAATACAAGGTCAAGGTGTTTTATGTATAAATAGAATTGTTACATGTTTTGTATGATCTCTATTAATGCACTTTTTAATTTCAGGACAGGGTCCAAGACAAATTCTTCTGGGTATAATAAAGTATATCTCATCTATCTTATCTTATCTTATCTTACATGCAATAGACTTAGTAGCAGGTGTCCTTGAAATGTCAGTGTTATTTTATGGGTCAAAGTGGGAGAATTTATCTTTATATGTAAATCTTTAGAAAGGGATCTATCCTTGTCTTGAATATTTGTCAATAAAGAGAAAATCTATTGTAGAGGGATACAGCATGCATATCCTGCCATACTGCTGTTTGCACTTAACTGTTTCTATTTTCTCAGGAGCAACAATAACCCTTAAAACCTCAGGTAAGAAGCAGAAAATAAACAGTATCAATATCACAGCCTATGTTTAAATAGAATAGGACAAAATAACCTAAGGCTATAAAGACTGTGTGCACTCCAGGTAGACTAAACATAGAAGAAGAAAAAAACACACCTTCAATAAAGATGTGCTTCTAGGTTATCCCCACACGCATTAAAATTCCCAGTTAAAATAACGGAGTGTTTTCGAGCAATAGTACGCTACGAGTATTTTTTTTTTTTTTCTAATCTGACGAGCACAACCCAAAATCCTCATCAATATCTAAAAAATGTAATGCAGTCTTCTTGGCTTCCAATCCGACCACCACCGCCTGCATTTAAACATGATCTAAAATATATTATGAAGATATCTCACCTTACACACACAGATGTTCTGCAATGAAAACAACATCCTAGAGGTACAATTTCAATGCTGCGTTCACTGTAAACTCGGAAACGGTAACCTCTGCGCGTTCAAGCCGAAAATAGTACGGATTGGCAGGCGCCAGTATGATATAATACATTGCATAAAACATCGGAGCAAACGATAAAATTAGGTTTACTACCTCTGAAGAAGAACTGCACATTTATCTGCCAAAGTTGTGCAGAAGGGAGGAAAGTAATTGGTTGTGTAGGAGCTGGCCCGTTTTAGAGACGTTGTTTTAACAGGGGGCTGGTTGAGTAACACAATCTTTAAAGTCGCACTGTTCCAGTAAACACTTTCTAAAATATCTTATGAGCTGAATGATATTAAAAAAATGTGTATTTATGGGTCTCTCAACGCAGTGTGTGGTATTTACAATACTTCTGAGAGCATTTGAAGGCCTCGTTGGTTGCGCACAGTTTCGATCGCTGCTATTGGTCAATCCTCCACCGCGCCCACTTATGACGACATTAGATCTCGCCAAGCTGTTCCGGGCATGTGAACGGCTGTCGAAATCTAAAACGTAAACAGTGGGGCGGCGTTTTGTTTTGTGTGTTTTATTTACGTCACCTCTGTTGACGAACAATGGGCAAGCGAAACCAAATGTCAGCGAACTTCTGACGCTCTTCGGGGTCTAGATGAACAGGTGTGAATAGGTGAGGAGATGGGCTCTGTTCGGTGGGCTTTCCGCTGTGGCTCGTGGACACCGAGCAGGTCTGATTGGCTGCTCGCTGCTCGCTGCATTCAGCGGGAAGAGAAGGACAGGATCGGACAGTTTGTGTTTGCCAAGGATGCCAAATCAGCTGTGGTGAGCCTCTGACTGAAAACACTCCAGCTGCTGTCGCTTGTTACAAAATAAACACGTAAACACTCACAGCCTGTCTCTCTGATCCCCCCCCCCCAATCAGGCTGGCAGGTTGTTGCTGAGGAGATTTGTGTGTGAGAGGATGGGGATCCCCTGGTCACAGATCAGCCTGGAGAGATCACCTAGAGGGAAACCTTACCTGGCAGCCCCACTCAAGGTTCACACCATGTTCACTACAGTTTATCCAGCAAGGAAACTACTCTCTCACTTCTGTTTCATGATATCTATTCACCCCCCCCCCCTTTCAGTCTCACCCCCCTTTTAACACCACACCTGTCCCTTTAAATACTTATTGCACATTCACAGTTTTCACATCTCTTCACTTCACTGAGTGAAGCTACTTTAAATTGTAAACTAATTTAAAGTCACTGCAAGTTTATTGGGTTTTAACTAATTTCAACCAAACTTTTCTGTTTTGGTTTAGTTTAAAAACACTTAGGTAGTAAAGTTTTAGTAGGGAAGACAAATACATAACGCAGGTGGATATGTGTCTTCTTACCAGTTGCAGTGGTACAGGTCAAACTGTGACCAAAACTTCAATGTAGCTGAATAAATTACCATTTAATTTTTTTAAACATTTTTTTAAAGTAGCTCATTGATGTTGATTATTGTTGTCATATAATTTAAATATTTACTTAACGATTGCTGTTTCGCTGTGCGTCCAGGTCAGTTCTGATTCAGGCCCTAAACAACCTGCGTGGAGTTTCAACCTGTCACATCAAGGAGACTACGCGGTGCTCGCTGCAGAGCAAGGGATGCAAGTGGGAGTGGATATCATGAAGACCGCCATGCCAGGTGATATTTGGTGTTTCGTCTAATCGGTTTTTGCAGATATTTTGCTGAAACTTGAGAAATGGCTTGCTTTTAGGGCACAGATGCACACGGGTTTTGTTAAATACATGTTAGAGATGTTTTTTTGTTTTTTTTACAACAACCTCTACTAGTTGTCTTTCCAATATTCAAGACCCTAACATGTCGAACAAACGTAACTACAGATGTTGCTGCTTTTTGAATCATGGCAAAATCTTATTTAAAAAAAATAAAACTACAAACTTCTGTCTCAGCTGTTCATTTCAATTGTCTAATCTGTCAGAAATAATTCCCAATCCCCACAATAAGGCAGACATGTTATTTGTTTCTTCTTTAAATATCTTCTTTAAAACTTCACCACAAGGGTTCACTGTTGCCTTGTGTATGTTAAAAGTCAAGGCCAACGCTGCCTTGGTTTGCAGATGTTTGGTTTTCCTGTGTGTGAGTGTGTGTGTGTGTGTGTGAGTGTGTGTGTGTGTGTGTGTGTGTTATGGGTGCCTTCAATGTTGTTTGGATAATCTCTTCGCTAGCTTTACCTGAAGTCTGCCTCCATCTTCCGCACACCTTACTCTGATTTCCCCTCTTCTTCTTCTTCTTCCTTCACTTCTGATATCTTCTCCATCGTTCTTCATCGTCCCTCACACCTCTCCTCTGTCCTCTCCTCTCCCTCCTCTACCACCCTCTGTCTTTCTCCCCCCCCTCCAGGTAGCAGCTCTGTGCCGGAGTTTTTCCGCATCATGACTCGTCAGTTTACAGTGTACGAGTGGAGCGTCATCCAGTCAGCCGGCTCAGAGCACCAGCAGCTCGCCACGTTCTACCGCCACTGGGTAACCATGGCAGCCATACTACCCTGTCGTCACATTGCATTTCTTGGCCCCATGAGCAGTGCCTTTTCCTCGTCTTGTTTTTTTTTTGCGCATGTCTGTGGAGGAAACGTAGGAAGAAAAATAACATTTATGATGGCCTTTGAGCCATGTACACACACACACACACAATACACACATTAATACATTTTGTACACACAAGTGTTAACTCTGTTTTTCTCTCCTCATATTTCTCACATTCTGTCCTTGTCTGTCCTAGTTTGTATTCCTCACAGATACACAATAGGTCTCTATTTTCCCTTTCTCAGTATTTGTCAGTTTTTGTTTGTCTAATATATTTCCTTCCTTGCCAAAAACACACAAAAGACAAACACACACACACCAACACACGCAGATGGACATCAGCAGAATCGGCGGTGCTAAGTAAAGATGTGGTGAGATTGAGAGGGTGGCACAGAGACGTCAAGCAGCTCTGATATCATCATCACACTGTTGACTAATGTCAGAGTTCCATGGTTGCCATAGCAATTAGCCTTGTAATACTGTTATTGTGGCTCATTGGTTGTCGAGAGGGGTTTTGGCTCAACACACATAAGCACCAAGTATCTCTTTTGTATGCACACTGTTATACATGTGTGCATGGATTCCCATCTGTTGTGGTTTTAAGTTACTTTGCTACTGAGCCAAAACACATGAAACACACACACACAGACTTTCCTTCTCAGCTTAGCGAGACACAAAAGTCTTCTTTTTTTTTTTTTGCCTCAAAGTGCCTGTGATTATTTTCTGCATGACATGACTGGGTGTCCTCCTTTCTTTTTCCGACCAAGGCCCTTAAGGAGAGCTTCATCAAAGCCATCGGCACAGGCCTGGGCTTCAACCTGCAGCGGGTTGAGTTTCACCTGACCTCTGAGCCTCTCACAGCGGGCCATGCTCTGCACCAGACCAAGATGTATCTAGACGAAAATGAGGAAGACGACTGGATTTTTGAAGTGAGTTTGAAGACGGATGCTAACAGTGAAAAGGACAAAAAAAAAAAAAAAAAAAAAAAACTGCCTAAAATATTGATTTAAAAGGAAGTTGTGATATTTATTTTGAGTAGTTTTTACAAACAGCCTTATTTAATGTATCGTTCACTGATGTTTAAATCACTTTTTTAGTCATACAGTTCTAGTGGTTTCATTCACTTTTCCCATTTCCCATTTTGAATTCGTCTCACTGTTTTTATCCTGCCAAAAGTGTGCGATCTTATTTCAGTGTATGAGTACATCACAATAACACAATAACACACATCTTACAATATTTACTCAAACTACTTCTACACTGTCCATGAACGAACAGGAGCAGGAAGAAGGAAAACGTATAATACCTGCTTCTTTTTTCAATAACATACGTTACCGTTGATACAGAATCAGGTTGCCAACCATAGTTTACTTTTTCTGCACACTGAATCAATCATAGAGTTAGATTTACTCGATAAGTTCATAATTTCTCATGACTTTTTCTTTATACATTCTTTTAAATTGAATAATGTTTGAACAGCATTTGAAGTCATTATCTCGAGAATTCCGCAGTTTCACTCCATTTACTGAAGTTTGTGATGCACAAATGGACTTCTAAAATTACATTTTCGTCTCTGATCCTCCTCACTTAAATCTAAACACAAACAACTTGTGTAGATTGTCAGGTCGTGATCTTGTTCTTGATTAAAACACGACTAATACAGTTTTTAAATCAACTAGATCTTTACATTTCAACACATGTGAGCTGCTGAACTCTGTTAGTGTGCTCTCTAACGTTCAGCCTGGTGTATATGTCTGAGTGCTCTTTTCTCTAACACGTACAGGTTAAGTATTAGTCATAAATGTGTCCCATACCTCAATGCAATAACTAAAATACAGGAGAATCCAGGTTTTATCCTACTGAGTATTCAAAGCTGGTCCCTGTCCTGATGCTTGCCAACCTGATGCTACTGCTGTGGCACTTTTTTGTTGTTTTTTTTAAAAGGAAAGGAACAAGTTTAGGAGTATTTTCACAAAGCCTTCAAGAAATCAATGAGCTTAAAAAGCTGAGGTGCCCCCCCCCCCTTGAATGCATGTGCAAAGTGAATCCCAGGTGGTTTTACTGAGATATACACACAGAAGATTGCAACAGCGGGGCTATCAAGTGGCCCTCAAACCCTCCAAACACCACGACAAGAGATAAGAGAAGCACCAGAGCAGAACACTCGTCTCCATTTCTATTTTTCCATTTCATCTCCTCTTCTCTGCTCCTCGTCGCCTTGTTGTCTTATCCCCTCACCTTCATTCCACCTTCCTCTCTACTCCCCCCCTTGATGTGTTCTCTCTATCTTCACCTTTTTCCTTCATTTTTTTCATTTTTCATGTATCTGCTCTCTTCTTCTGCCTGCTCCTCACCCCCCCCCCCCTCCTTCATGTTTGTCCTCTCTACACCACTCCTCCCTTCACTTTTTCCACCATGCCCAGTGGCAGAGAGATTAACAAGTGACTGCTAAAAGGTTACCACTGCTTCGAAAAGCCTGATGTTACATCTCCTCTCTCTCTCGAAGCCTCTTGGGGTGGTGAAGCTTTAATGCTGTTTTAGTGTCCGTGTTTTCACACTAGAGAATAACAGCTTGCCCGTATCGATCGCAGGTAGATGGCAATGCATTTGTCCTGTTTTTTTCTCTTTTTTTTTTTTTTTAGCTTGTGATTGTGGGGAGAAGACAAGTTACCCTGTTAACAGAATGTTGTATTTGTTGGGCTAAAAGGGATTAAAAGTTGTCGAAAGAGTCAGTGGACAGAGGAGAAAAATAGGCACCATATTTGTTATTAGAGGGAAAAATCTCTATCACACTCTCTCATTTCTGCTTTATTTCCCATTAGTGCATATATTTAAATCAGGACCCGACCGATATGAGATTTTTGGGGCCGATACCGATATCGATGTTAGGAAGAGAAAAATCAGATATTGATATATGGGCTCATATCTTTCTTTGATTTTTAGAGATTGAGAGATATAGAGACACATTGTGTGGATCCCTCAGATGCAGTTATCAAACACTTATGAAAAAGATATTTAACAAAGACAAGATCAATCACTCAGCTGACAGTAACTGTGCATTTACGTGCTTCACTGTTTGACACGCTGGAGAGTGATGATGGTTGTTTTAATCCACATAGCCCCCCTGCTGGTGACAGCCAGAAAGAAAACTCAGATGAAATGTTATTTGACTGCTGAATAATTGTAGTAATATCGGCGCATACCAGAGATAAAATTAGTCAATACCGATAATCACTTGATATGCTAATATCGGTCGGTCGGGCTCTAATTTAAATGAGCTTCATCAAGGATACTAACTAGCTTCACAACTTTTCTATATTGATATTTATGAATGCAAATGTCATTTTGTTATTTGAGGAGATACTTGTCAGTCATACCATAGGTCATAGAAAGAGAACAAAAAGGATTAAACAGTTCGTCAACCTCTAAATACGTCAAGTAATCTGCTGTTACGAAATTCTTCATATTGCTCTGTTTAGTTTATTACGTCATTTTAGCACAAACAGAAAATACTTTTTTATTTTAGCCTTAGTGCAAATATGCACTCCAATTAATTTCATCTTGGATAAAGGATTCACTGCAACACATTTGATGTAAAAACAATGAGCATGAGTCATCTTATTAAATGAATGCATATATTCATTTAATCCATGGAATAACTTAAGTGTCCATCAAAGGAAGGAATACAAATACATGTGTCACACACATATACCAAAGTATGTTTCAAAGAGATACCAATAAAGTTCTGTGAGGGATAATATTTATTTAGGGGGGCGTAGAGAAGAATGAAACCCCGGCAGGTTGAGCGAGACCCCAACAGATACTCATTAAATAAATTATTATTTCTACTAAAAATAGTGATCTGGGAATGGTTTTATTGATTCAAAATTGTTAAATGTGTTCCGTTAATAAATAGTCCATCTGAATCTGCCGTTGAAGCTGGGTCCATAGCAACTGTTAACTTTGTAGCTGTTATTACTCACTGTTTAATTATTATTTTTTTAATGTGTTACTAGATCTGTTTTTTATGGGTTTCCTGTCTTGTGGTCTGTTTGTCCCTCCTGAGGACAATAAAGTATATCTAATCTAATCGTATTAACTGCAAGCCATGCATATTAGAGGTGTCCATGGCAACCGCTTAATTTTATAGTAGCGGTTTGTTCTTCTTGTCAATAATGTACTATCGAGGGATAGCAGACTGTTCCTATGCACAATTGGCCAATCAGCCAAGTAATTAACACAGCCATGTTATACTGTAATGCAAGAATGGATGGCCAATTACGGAGTGCCCCGGGCCGGATGGTTATACTTGATTGCTAATTAAATGTTATTAGACTTTCCATCGAGTCATCACCACAAAATAAAGGACTGAACAAAAACAGGCAACAATCTGAAAAATTACAACAAGAGTCAGGACAACACAAACATTTTGAATACTAAATAGATAGCTGACAATAGATAATATTTATGGTAAAAAACAACAGCAAAAAATGCTCTTCAACAATAAAGAACATTCTTTAACTCAAACATCCTAAAAGCCCAACAGAATGACAAAAAAGCATTTTAGATGGACACAGCCATACACATCGTCCTAACACACCTTGGTGAAGCCAGTGATCTCCCAGTCAGCCTCGACGAACAGGGACACACATCATTATTTATAATCAGTGAATGATTGCAGAGACCTTGAGGGGTCAAACGAACTCAAACAAAATCAATGTTTTTTGGATGTGTCTCTTACATAGACAGGCACGCTCAGA